ATTACCAGTAAGGTTGTTATGAGAAAGATTAAGCCCTTTGAGAGAACTAAGCTTTCCAATAACATCTGGAATTTCTCCCTCAAACTTGTTATTTGAGAGATGAATACTACTGAATACGGTCAAAATCCCCTGCAGCTCATAGTCGAATCCCTTCCATGTCACAACCAGTGAATATTGATAAGAATTGGCTCCCGTCGACATCTTCATGTATTTAGGGGAACCATCCTCTCCATGAGGGTCCATCATCGCTTTAAAATTTTCAATGTACTGAACAGGCAAAGGGCCACGAAAATCATTGCTGAAGAGGTCCAGAACTCGTAACTTGGGAAAAGATGGACTTTCTTTGGTGCTCTGCACAGAACCGTGAAACTTGTTGGACCTTAAGACAAGCACTTGAAGGTCTGGTAGAGATTCCAACCAATGAGGGAATGTGTCCTCTATGTTGTTGTTGCCAATGTCTAGAACCTCTAACATGCTACAATTCACCAAAGACCTTGGTAATAGCCCATCCATTTGATTTCCATGTAAGTTGAGATTTTGTAATCCACAGTCCTCTGGAAACCCAAATGGTATATTTCCATCAAAGTAATTGGCCTGCAAATTCAACACTGAGAGAAACTTAGGAAGAGAATTTGGAATCTTCCCGATTAAATTGTTATGAGAAAGGTCAAGAATTTCAAGATCATCCTTTTCACATATCCATTCGGGAATATTTCCATGAATGCTATTTTTGGATAGCACTAGGCTTTGCAGATCAATTGAATCTCTAATGAAATTCGGGAATTCACTCAAGTTACAAGAAGAAAAGGAAACATCAGTTAGTTTGGGTAATGTGAAGTTGGCATTGACATTCATTCTCAAGGACAGATTATTGTCTGAAAGAAAAATGGTTTGCAAATTTTGAAGCGCCGAGAACATGTCAGCTTCTACTAAATCACTAAAATGATTTGATGATAAATCAAGATAATTAAGATTTACTAAATCAGCAATTGAGTTAGGAATTGAGCCCTGGAGTTTATTGTTTGACAAATCTAGAACTATGAGTGAGTTTTGCTGGAATTGATTTATTTGGCCTTGAAATTGGTTATGATTGAGATGCAAGTACATTAACAAAGGTAGGGTGAAAATCCAAGGTGGCAACGTGCCATTAAGCAAGTTATAAGACAAGTCTAGAGTCCTTAGTTGGGAAAACCTACTTGCATGAAAAGGAATGGGACCAGAAAACTGATTTTTTGAAAGGTAAAGGAAGTTAAGTTGGGTGAGGTTTGCAAGTGATGGTGGGATTTGTCCGCTAAGATTGTTAGAATTAAGGACTAGGACACCAAGTTGCCTTAAGTTACCTATGGAAGCTGGAATGGGACCAGAAAACTGATTATCGAGTCTTAGGTCAGTTAGTTGAGACAAGTTCCCAATGGAAGCTGGAATGGAACCTTCCAAGTTGCAGCTAAGACTCAGAGACTGTAATGACTTTAGATCTCCTATGGACTCTGGCAATCGCCTTCCGCAATCCATATCACCTAAGTACAACCGTTGGAGAGGACTGCTCCAATTGGAACTTGGAAAATCAATTGTGAGATTTCGGTTTCCACTTAAATAAAAATTCTTGAGATTTGGAAAGCGGAAAATACTGTTTGGAAAGTCTCCTCTTAACACACACTCGAAAAGATCAAGAGTATTCAATGAAGAAGAGAGATTCATGAAGAAACGAGGATTAACAGATGTCATGTTCACTCCACTAAGCACAAGTTCTCTCACCTCACTCAAGTTTTGAACAAGATTTCTCAAGGTCGTTGTTTCAAGGATCAAGTCAGAATTGGAGAGATTGAGAGAAACTAACTTGGGGAGGTGAGCAATTTCTCTCGGAACTTGGCCCGAAAATCCAGAAGAAGAGACATCAAGATGCTTTAGTCTAGTAAACAGACTGATTTCCGATGGAATCTTGGAATCCCTAAAATCATTCAAGGCAAGATTGAGGCTCTGCAGGTTTTGGAGGAAGAAAAGAGTGCTGTTGGAAGGAAAGGTGCCATAAAGGAAACTGCAGCTGAGATTAAGGGCAATTACATGGCCTGTGACATTATCACAGC